GTGTGTGTGGTTCCATAAGACACGAATCATGAAGAGAAAAGACAAGGCAAGAAAAGAAAAAAAGGCTACTTTTGTTGTTGACCCCTGAGCAGAAATGTACAGGTCCAGCCGTGGCACAATGAAAACATGCACAAAACAATATATCATTATGTGTCACGACACGGTGGTATCAGGCACTTGTCAGTTTTTGGACAAGTGGAGTTATTGGTATCATCTTATACTTATAGTAAGTTATAGCTTATTCTTTTGCCTATCCTTTGATTAAAAAAAACAAACCCCCCCCCCCCCCCCCCCCCCCAGCCGAACAATTACGAGAGCTAGGCACCCCAAACAGTCGTGTTCAGTCTAATACAAGCCACAACCCAAACCCTGACCCAGGCGCTTCACCGTGGCACGCAGAAAACCCGAGTTCGATTCCCGTATGGGGAGAGTTAATATCTTTATCGTGTACCCACTACATGTATCGATTTTTCTTCTGGGACGTTGTATCCTTCTCAGTCCAGGTTGGCCCAGACAGGCAGAGTCCAAGCCCGCCTCCTAAACTATCAAATTAATTGTGTCGATGGGGGCTTAAAAGATCTAGATCTACATTTTGAAAAAAAAACTCTGTTCTACGATTAGTGGTGAAAAGGTAGCAATACAATGTTATCTTTGCACAAAACAATTTGTAAAAACAATGAATAATTTAATAAAAATCAGCTCTGCCAATATTTTTTTTAAAAATTAGTAGAGGGGTTTACGGCGCTCGCAACTGCAAAAGGTCATATGAGCGTCAAGGAGTGGGTGTCAACAGAGAAATCTTTACAGGGAATCAGACTTACTCTGCTCACCTCTCTAGCTTCATCAGCACAAGGTCTACTTCGACTATCAAGGCACCCGGGAAATAGCAGGTCACAAGAGTGTGACAAACATACAAAAGAAGTAGAGGCAACTGACAATAGTAAGGATTATGAAAGAAAAAGCAGCAGTTCCCTGTTGTAGATCAGGCACAGTTATGAGAGTGACATGATGAATCAGCCCATTTACAATTCTACTGTGCTTGAACGAGAAATGTCCCCACTTTGGGAATGGTTGCCAATATTTTTGCGTAAAAACAATAGAGCAGTCTATATAAAAACAAGTAGACTATTCTATTAGGACCAACCATAGAGAACATAATCATTGTTTAAACTAGTGCATTTAAAATACTTCCTTCGGGAGATTACCTTTAATGAGAGAAATAACAGCAGCTAGGGTGGAATATTAGGGTGTGATGTTACTATACCTCTCGACGACTTTTAACCCCCATGTGTGTATAGAAAGGTGATTTCCTACACCAAAACAACAATCTTGCTTTTGCAAGTGTTCCACAACACAAATTTCTATGACGTGAAAACGCAACAAGTTACTTAGGCCTAGTGTTCTATTCTGAACAGTCCTCGGGAAAGCGTAAGTTTAGCGCACCAAAAAAAGCACTACACGACAACAATGATCCTGAACATGTCTCGGAAGGACTTCAACATAAAACCTTCGACATGGGAGAGACTTGCTCTTGACAGACTTCAGTGCCAGAGTTGATGGGGTAGTAGTGAAAGAGCAAAGTGGAGCAACTGCACTGACAACATCAAGTATGTGTATGGAGATAAAAGCCATAAGTGAGGCTCTACACTGGATCAAGAACACAAGCCATCAGCGAGCAGTAATCATTACTGACTCCGTGAGCACACTACAGAAGGTACAGAAAGGGATGCTATATGTGGACTGGAAGGCTACGATAAGGGAGAGCAGCCTGGAAAGAGTGGCCTGGATCTTCTGCCCGGGTCATGCGGGGGTAACAGGCAACGAGAGA